AGGGACAGGGAAAGAGGAAGAGGGGGAACAGGAGCAGACAGAGGGACAGGGAAAGAGGAGTAGAGGAGACAGAGGAAGAGGGGGAAAGGGAGGAGAGGGGAGAGGAGCAGGCAGAGGGACAGGGAAAGAGCAGACGATGAGGAGCAGGAGCGCTCAGGCGAAGATGGTCTCCTCTCTCCTCTTCTTGGTGAGGATGGTGCCGGGCTTGTGCTGGGCATCGGGGTGGTTGGCCAGCTCGGGGGGGCAGGTGGACACGGGGCTCTCCAGGATGGCCTGCTTCAGGTCGTAGAAGACGGTCGCGTCCTCCTTCGTCAGGAAGGTCATGGCTATGCCGCTCTTCCCGGCACGCCCCGTCCTGCCGATACGATGGATATAATCTGGGAGGAGAGAGAGAAATCACAGGGATTCAGTCAGCGCCTCCTCCTGGGAACCAGGTCACCAGAGACAAGTGGACAATGCAGGACTCCCAATCTCCCAATTTCTTCCACTTCACACTTCAAGGACACTTAATTAGTTAATTGGCCTTCAAACAGGTCACTTGTCCCTTAATTGTCAACTTTTCAAAGGGACTGTAATGATTTCCTGCTGCCAAAAATCAGTTTCGGGTTAAGAAAAAGGAGCCTCCATCGAGGAGGAGGAGGGAGCAAGGAGCTGACCTTCGATGTTCTTGGCCATGTCGTAGTTGACGACCATGGACACGTCGTGGATGTCGATGCCTCTTCCTGCCACGTCGGTGGCCACCAGGATGTCCTTGGCGCCAGCCTTGAGGTTGGACAGGGCGAACTCTCTCTGCTCCTGGCCCTTGCCGCCGTGCAGTGTGCAGGCATTGTACTGCGGGGGGGGGAGAGGAGACACACAGGCGTCAGTGGGGCGGGGGGGGGGTTTGGGGAGTTGGCAAAGACTCACGGGGCAGAAGCCGGGTCGCCAGGAAATATCTTACCCCCATCTTCTCCAGAGACTTGGCCAGCACATCGCAGCCCTTCTTCTGGTTGACGAAGATGATGATGGGCGGATCGAAGCCCCTGGACAGGACCTCCAGCAGCTTCTTCCTGTAAAATCCAGAGCAGGGGGGACTCAGAAATACAGCACATGACCCCAGCTGAACACTCAGGTTTGCAAGTAGAACCACTTTCCTCACTAGTGCACTGATTCCAGTACTAAATATGGATCCCCCCCCTCACTAGTGCACTTATTCCAGTACTAAATATGGATCCTTTCCCCAACACTGGGGTACAGGCTTCAGCGTGTTCAGGTGCTGTCCATGAGCACTGAAAGACAACATTATGGGGACATCTAAGTTAAAAGTCCACCTGAGGATTAAGAGAGCACTTAGATCCCTGCTGTAAGCGACGCTGTGATCACAGCCCTGATCTCTACTGGCTCATAAACGTCACTGTCGCTGCAACGATTAATTCAAGCAAATCGGGAGCCACAGTGACCGTCTGCTCACCTCTTCTCTCCCTCCGACATCAGCAGGACCTTCTGCTCCACCCTCTCGTGCGGTTTGCCTGCAGAGCCGATGTAGACCACCGCAGGGCGCCGCAGGTAGCTGCGTGCTAACCGCTCTACCGCCGGGGGCATGGTGGCTGTGAACATCACCGTCTGGGACAAAAAGAGCGGTGCTGATTAGCGCAGCTGCCTGAACACAGTACTTTGTCAAAATCAGCATCACTGCTCTGCTCTTGCGTTGAGGGCTGCGCCAGGTGAGTGCGCGCAGTGCCCCCACCGCCTGTACATTGGCCCAATGTGTCTACCCAGTGGACACTATGCCAGGTGTACACCTTACCTGTCGGTACTTGTGTTTTCCAGACTCGAAGTTCATCATCATCTTCTCCGGGTCCTCGGCCTCGTCGGTGTCCGGCTTCTGATTGGTCACGGGGATGTACTCCAGGATCTTCTGCACGTCCGGCTCGAAGCCCATGTCAATCATGCGGTCGGCCTCATCCAGAACCACGTACGTACAGCGGCTCAGAACCAGGTACCGGTTCTCCAGAACGTCGATCAGTCGCCCAGGTGTGGCAATCACAATCTGCAGGCCAAACCACACGTCAAGCCCATCGGAGAACACAAACCACTGCAGCCCGTTTCGCCCGCAAAGCAGACAGGCTGCTTTTCTGCTGCAGCTTCTACTCTTACAGGACTCATCGCAAACAACGATGAGCCGGCAGACAGGAATGAAGAGCTGAACGAGTTGACTGGTGTGATGGCCTTCAGACTCGGCAAGGGAGCGCTCTCGACACTAACATTAATGGTCTTGCTGGAGAAGTGGTGGAGAATTACAAGTTGCTGGGCATCACCATCTCCCACACTCGAACATGGCAGGTCAATACCAGAGAATGCTCTTTCTGAGCAGTAAAAGAAGTCTGGAGTATCACAGGGAGTAATGGCCCTCTCTTACAGAACTGTTTTGACCTTCTCTGTCACTGTGTGGTTCGGCAACCCTTCGGCCCAGAACAAGAAGCAGCAGGTCCTGTGTATCAAGAGCAGTGTACATCGCCTCCGAAATCGCAGGATGCCACCTTCCCACTGTGGACTCTCCGTTTTTCTAGACCAAAACCCCCAGGACACTTCCCACCCTGCACAACCTGTTTACTCTCCTCTCCTCTGGCAGGCAGCTCAGATCACTCAAGACTGGGACCGCCGGGTGTCAGGACAGTGCAACCGAGTCCCTACCCAGAGGCTGGGAGAAGCCTGAACGCTGCAGTTGGATTGTGAAACTGATGCACAGCTCATTGTTATTTTATCAGGTCTCACTGTTCTTTACTTTATGCTGTTTATTACTGGCTTTGTGTTGAGTATTTGTATTGATGTCATGTAGTGGCATGAGCTCACCAAGCCAAATTCAATGCAAATTGGTTGTTATGGCACTAAAGCACTGATCCCGAACCCGAAAAGGATCAAACTGCTGTGCAACGGGAGCCCCTCTCCCCCCTGCCCGGCCCTCACCTCGCAGCCCATGCGCAGGCGGAAGCCCTGATCCTCGCGGGATATCCCACCGATCACCGCCACCGTGCGGATTCCCAGCGGCTTCCCGAACTTGATAGTCTCCTCTTCGATCTGCTGGGCCAGCTCACGGGTCGGCGCCAGGATCACTGCGTACGGGCCCTGGTCCGAGTCCTCGATCCTGAAAGAGCAGGAACATCACCCTCAGTAATGCCCTTTGACCTCCCCGAAACTGGCACAGGCCTGCGTGGACTTAGGGCACCCTCCCCCCCACTGTCACCCCTGAAACTGGCACAAGCCTGTGTGGACTGAGGGCACCCTCCCCCCCACTGTCACAGGCCTGTGTGGACTGAGGGCGCCCTCCCCCCACCACTGTCACCCTGAAACTGGCACAGGCCTGCGTGGACTGAGGGCACCCTCCCCCCCACTGTCACCCCTGAAACTGGCACAAGCCTGTGTGGACTGAGGGCACCCTCCCCCCCACTGTCACAGGCGTGTGTGGACTGAGGGCGCCCTCCCCCCCCACTGTCACCCTGAAACTGGCACAGGCCTGTGTGGACTGAGGGCGCCCATTTCCCTCTGCAAGGGAAGACAGCTTCATGAAAACTGATCTACAATCCTTGCAATCCAATCCCCCTTGAGGATATTTGTTACATTAAAACTCCTGAACTGTTCAATTGTGTAGCAGGCTAATTACAACGCAGGTTCTACTGAAAGTTTGCAGTGCCGTTCAGTATAAGCCATGGGCAGGTATGAGCAAAAGATCTCAGAATATGTCCTGCTACCTGAACGTTTTCAAGTTGCTTCTATTAAATGCTTTCATAAACTTCAAATCTCCCAGTTTGACTGCTCGTTTAGCTCAATAGAGTAAGAATTAGGTCTTGAATGACAAATGACAAGAGGTAATGGTGGGCAGGAGCAAGATGAGGAAGCCCTGGGGAAAGAGGTCCAGCAGGGGGCGCTCTGTCTCTCACCGGTCAATCTTGGGCAGCGTGGTGATCCAGACCAGCAGGGGAATGAGGAAGGCAGCCGTCTTCCCGCTGCCGGTCTCGGCGACTCCGATGATGTCCCGGTTCTGCAGGCCGATGGGGATGGCCTGTCTCTGGATGGGCGTGGGCTCCTGGAATCAGAGCGCACGGAAAACATTAAACTGGAAGCTGGGGAAGACCGGCAAAGAGACCGGGACAGCACGTGTTCACCGGAACTGTGGAAATTGATGTGCTGAGCTGCCCAGCTGGACAGAGAGAAGCTGTGGGGGCAGCACACTGTACACTGTATGCAGCAAGGAGCAGGAGGGCACGTTTCAGCAGACCGATACCCTTCACACTTGACGTAGCGAAGAGCCTAACGAAAACAAACTACAGGCACGTGCGCTTATAACGGAGATCAGCAGGGATGTATTCACGCAGGGGGTGGCGGGAGTCTGGAACAAGTTATCCCGCCACGCTGCTGAGGCTGATACCCCCTTGTCCTTTGAGAAGCAGCTGCATCGGTTAGCCACTCCTCAACGGGCTCCGCACCGCTCCTTCACTCTAAACGGGCCGGCTGGGGTCCGGGGGCCCACCTTGTAGCCGCACTTGTCGATGACCTCCAGGATGTGGGGCGGCAGGTCGTACTCCTTCCAGTTGCGGATGGGGTTGGGGATCTTGCCGCCCTTGGTGGTGATGCTGTAGTCCTCGCGGAAGATGCGCCAATCCCTGTCCGTCATCTCATCCAGCTTCTTCTGGGACCAGTGCCGGTCGTCCCAGCGCTGCTTGGCCTCCTTCTTCCGCAGCTTCTTCAGGCGCAGCCTACAGGGGGAGGGGGGGAGGGAGAGAGAGAGAGAGGGGAGTTTGGAAAGGGGGATAATGAAGAGAGAGAAGCGAAGAACAGAAACAGGAGAGAAGACACGAGAGGGGGAGGGATCACAGCAAGGTCAGTGAACATCAGGTGGAAAGCGCCGTGTGGACATCAGGTGTGTGCAAGTGTGCGCTCCACTCACTCTTCCTGCTCCTTCTCCTCCAGAGTGCGCCTCTTCTCCATCAGGTCGCCGTAGAAGCGTGATTGCTCCCTCTTCTGCTGCTTCAGGTCGATGCCGGCGATGAAGCCGCGGCCGTACAGCTGCACCTGGTGCCTCTCCTTGTACCTGAGAGCCAGCGGGGCAGAGGGGGCAAAGCTCACACTGTCAAACTCACGCCCTGTTACATCCCCACCACACCCTCGCCCCACCCCTACCACACACAGCCACACCCTCGCCCCACCCCTACCACACACAGCCACACCCTCGCGCCACCCCTACCACACACAGCCACACCCTCGCGCCACCCCTACCACACACAGCCACACCCTCACCCCACCACGTTACACCCCTTTCAGTCAAACCCCCCCCAAACCCCACCAGTCACACCCCATTACACCCCTATCACAGTGACACTCCCCTCAAACCCCACCAGTCACACCCCATTACACCCCTATCACAGTCACACTCCCCTCAAACCCCACCAGTCACACCCCATTACACCCCTATCACAGTCACACTCCCCTCAAACCCCACCGGTCACACCCCATTACACCCCTATCACAGTCACACTCCTCTCAAACCCCACCAGTCACACCCCATTACACCCCTATCAACGTCACACTCCCCTCAAACCCCACCAGTCACACCCCATTACACCCCTATCACAGTCACACTCCTCTCAAACCCCACCACACAGCCACACCCTCTCCCCACCCCTACCACACACAGCCACACCCTCGTCCCACCACGTTACACCCCTATCAGCCACACCCTCGTCCCACCCCGTCCACACTCATCACAGCCACGGTTCCTGGGAGCTCCCCCAGCCCCCCGCGAGCCCTTACAGGGGGTTGTAGTCGATGGAGGTGTCCTCGGAGGCGTCCCACTCGAACACAAACTTCCTGTCGTTCAGGTGGCGCGTGCGCCGGCGCTTCTTGATCCCGCCGAGGTACCGCTCCTGTCACACAGGCAGACACACACCGCCAATCAAAACCGAGCCCTGCCCTGGGGGCCCGCAGGAGCCCAATCCCAGGAGACACGGGGACGCCAGACCCCAGGGCCACAGGCACGCAGCCAGAGCTGAAGGACAGCGCCAACTCTTAACCCTTCGCCTGCTGCGACTGCCTGGGGACAGGGCTTAATTGGGCCAGCTGGGTGAATATTTCGCAGGTTGCTCAGGGCGCAGGGTGGAACCCAGACCCGGGAGATCGGATTCCTGACCGGGACTGACCTTGATGGCCTGCAGCTCCTTGCCCTTGTCTTTCTCCTCGCGGATCTTCTGTCGGCCGTCGTCTTCCTCCGTGCCGTTGTTCTCCCTCTCCATCCTCTCCCGCCGTTCGCGCCGCTCTCTCTCCTGAGGGTCTTCTGCGGACGGACAGACAGGCACAGGCCGGCTAGACAGACAGCCCTCCACGCCCAGGCGACCCGACGCCCTCACAGAGCTGCTGGCCGATACAGGTCGTAGCACGGTGGTGAAACAGGGGTGCGCGCGGAGCTCTGGGGCGCCAACGCCGCGATTCCACAGATTTCCCATGTGGCACAGTGCAGCCCAGTGCGCTGCTGTGGTGAGATTGCTTCTCAGGGGCATCAGTGTGGCAAGAGCTCGGCTCCCCCAGTGTGTGTGTGTGTGTCAGTGCGGTAAGAGCTCAGCTCCCCCAGTGTGTGTGTGTGTGTGTGTGTGTGTGTGTGTGTGTGTGTCAGTGCGGTAAGAGCTCAGGCAGGTGTGAAATATGGATGTAAGAGGGGAAGACCCCAGGAGCCTCACCCAGCATCTTCCTCCCAATGTCCTGGAACACCCTCCTCTTCCTCCTCTCGTCGTCTATTATCCGGCGCCGCTCCTCCACCTCAAGCTCCCTCCGGCGCAGGGCCTCCGCCTCCCTCTCCGCCCGGGACAGGAACTTGGGCTGGGGCGTGGGGCGGGGAGGGCAGGAGAATTCGAGAGAACAAAAACAGGAGGGAAAAAACATCCTGTAAAGCCTCGCAGTTCGCAAATTCGCGAGCGTATGGGGGACACGGGGGACAGGCTCCCAAGATCTGCTCAACACCCACCATCGGCCACATCAAGCGCAAATCCTTCCCTTGAATAGTACAAATACAACAGCATGGATTACAATTCAAATGATGAAGTTAAACACCCTGAATAGTAGAATACACTCTTATTAATTCTGCGATTTGATTCCTTAGATTTAAAAATAGCAAAAAAACACGAGAGCTGAACACGCGTGTGCAGGTGCACGCGAGAGACACGTTTCTCGACGCCCAGCGGGGTGGGGAGACGCAGGCGTGCGTGGGGGCAAGACTACAACAGAACCACAGGTTGTGGGGAAACCGGGAGGCTTTTATGTTCCCGCAGGCAGGACCATGCTTGGGAAGTCAGGCACATGAGCGTGTTCCTCCTCACCTTGGCTTCTGCCTCCTCCTCTGCTTTCTTCTTGGCCAGGAGCTCCTCTAGGGACAGCGGCTGAGCCTGGGGGGACAGAGAACCGGCCGTTGTCAGTGCAGACGGGCAGGGGAGTCACCCGTGGGCTCAAGGGTAGGGCGTCCCCTAGAGACCTGGAGGACATTCAGCCATAACCCCCCAGTCCCATACCAGGACATAAACTGTGTTGTCTCCTGCTCAGCAAGCGATTCCCACCTTTTCCTTCTTCTTCTTCTCCTCCTCTTCCTCCTCCTTCTTCAAGTCCTTGTCCCTCTTGAGCCGGTTGTCTCTGGACTTGGGAGACATGCTTCTGAAGAAGAGGAACGGGTTGAAAGAACGGGCCTGACACCAGCATTGATAAAGTCAGCCCACCGCCAAAGCACCAGGAGAATGATGGGATAGAGCCCACTGTGGCACACAGGGCTCTCCATGTGACCACGTGTTTCAAATCTATCTTATTACATTTTGCGTTGTTACATCCATGCAGCGAAAAGGCGGTGCTGTGTTATTATTCATATTTAATGTTGTTATCCAGAACGTCTCACACGTTAAGATCTGGAAAACAAGCGGATCAGTACTGAACATGAAAATGACACCCCAGGGAAGGAAGTGGCCTACCCCCAGTATACAGCAGCACCCATCCATATTTTAACCATTCTTCCGATTCAGGGTCGCGGGGGAGCCAGAGCCTGTCCCAGCAAGGAAAAAGGTGCAAGGCAGGCTACACCCTGGACAGGACGCCAGTCCATCACAGGACACACACACATACACACACTCGCACCAGGGCCAACTTTCCCAGAAGCCAATTAACCCACCAGCATGTCTTTGGACTGGGGGAGGAAACAGAGCACAGAGGAAACTCAAGGGAACCTGGGAAGAACATGCAAACTCCACATAGATAGCAAACCAGGTCCAGAATTGAACCCCGGACTTCACAGGGATTGTGAGAAACAAAAGTCCTATCCTGCCAAAAACCCTTGTGCGTGTGGGTGCTTAGATCCTGCCCGGGAGCAAACAGCAGTGATGACTCTCTTGACCCACACTACTGAAGACTAGAGAGGAAAGGCTCTAAGAGGCCTGTAAATGGAGAGCACTGTTATCCCCACTCCACGGCCACTTCAAGCCACTGCTCAGCAACTCCTGTGCTGGAGTACTGAAGCAACTATCGTTCCATAGCAGTCTGATCCATACTGGGTTTTACCCACTGCAGGGTTCTTGCATGCAAACCAAAAGCAGTGTTTCATATCCAAGACTTATCCAAGAGCAAACTGCACATT